CGGCAGGTTTTCGCTTTGAGCCCTAGGGCACAGGCCGACCTCGAAATCCTCATGAGGCTTTCTCGGCACCCTTTCATGAAAACAGCTGTTTTTGGAGCCGACGGATGGCGTGTGATCCGATGCTCGACCTTTTTATTTTGCACGACTTGTGGGGCGTACAACTGGGGGGGGGATAGCGGTTCTTTGTAAGACCTGCCCAAGGCCCCAAAATGTTTCGATCGCCCTCCGAAAACAGAGGACGTGCTGCTAGACGCCTCTTCTCTGGGTTGGCTCCACAGTACAGAGGGTGGACCACAAGGGAACCGCGACCAGCTGCACCCATAGATCTAGATCTCGCTGCCCGTTCCAACGGATCTATTACTAAGCCGCCTAATGATGTGGGGGTGGAGGCGTCGGGACTTGGTGGGCGGGGAGTCTGGGGGGAGAAATGGCCTGCTGACCAGATCTCGGCTGGTTTTGGCCTCACACCCGATGATGTGAGCCACTGGAGCCAGAGACTTGAGATAATTCAGAAGGGCCCGAAGCACCCAGGCAACGAAACCCTGGAATGACGTGTGTTGGGTATGTCATTGTTCAACCTCCTGCGTGAGGGGCGGATTCTTGCTGGCTGAGGCGTGTCACCGACCTCCTCCGCCCTGGGAGGGAGGAGGGAGGAGGGAGGAGGGGGGAGGGAGGGGAGAGGGGAGTGGGGAGGGGGGAGGGGGGAGGGGGAGGGGGAGGGGGAGGACAAGCTAGGGGCGCTCGCGTCATATCTGACATCCTTCCCTTCCCTCCCATCCTCACCATGGCGTAGATCCCCTCTCTACTCGCACAGTCGGATGTCGAGCAGGGCAATGATCCCGAAAGGGTACGCGATGCATGGTAGAGCACGGCGTGGCATGGCGTAGAAGAGCACCGCAAAACGTAGTATGTCACAGCATGGCGTGGCGTGGCGTACTGAAGAATTGCATCACGTAGGCTTGCAACGCAACGCATGGCATCGCACAGTGGACCCGAACATAACGTTGCATAGCATGGCGTTGAAGATCAAAGCGTAGCATGGCACAGCACGACGTGGCACTTAGCATTGCGTATCACAGCTTCAGCTGAAGGCGTGGCATCGCGCAGCGGAACGCAACCTAGCATTGCATTGCATGCCGTGGCATGGCACGGGACATGACGCCAGCGCTGCAGCGGGAACACGATTCGGAACGAGCGGAAGCGCGGACATGAGGCCAACGCTGCAGCGGGAGCACGATTCGGAACGATCGGAAGCGCGGAAATGAGGCCAACGCTGCAGCGGGAACGCGATTCGGAACGATCGGGGCCCGACAATGAGGCCGGCGCCTCAGCGAGAACAGCATTTTGAAAACATGCAGGCGAACACCCAAATCCGGGGAATCCTGTGTGTAAAAATTAGCTTGGCGAAAGACCCAACCATATGCAGTTGTGGGTATCGCATTCGGTGGAGCTCTCTATGGGGCCACGACGCTGTACTGGGTGTGGGGAGGACGCATGCGAACTGCGCCACTGGGACCTTCGGTGGAGCTCCCTATGGGGCCACGAAACGCAGTACTGGACGCATGCGAACTGCGCCACTGGGACCTTCGGGGGAGCTACCTATGTGGCCACGAAACGCTGCCTTGGGTGGAGGGGGGAGGGGGGGCGCATGCGAACTGCGCGACTGGGGCCTTAGGTGGGCTCCCTATGGGGCCACGAAAAACGTTCCCGGGTGGGGAAACCGCATGCGCGCGTGCACTGGGACCTTCGGGTGGAGCTCCGCTATGGGGCCACGAAAACGCTGCCCTGGGTGGGGGAACCCGCATGCGGGCTGTGCCACTGGGACCTTTCGGTGGAGCTCCCTATGGGGCTACGAAGCGCTGCCCTGGGGTGGGGACAACCGCATGCGGGTGGGCATGGGGACCTTCGGTGGCGCTCCCTATGGGGCCACGAACCGCTGCCCTGGGTGGGGGAAACCGCATGCGGGCTGTGCCACTGGGACCTTCGGTGGAGCTCCCTATGGGGCCACGAAACGCTGCCCTGGGTGGGGGAACCGCATGCTGGCTGTGCCACTGGGACCTTCGGTGGAGCTCCCTATGGGGCTACGAAACGCTGCCCTGGGTGGGGGAACCGCATGCGGGCTGTGCCACTGGGACCTTCGGTGGAGCTCCCTATGGGGCTACGAAATGTGTGAGGGGTGTGCCGAGAGCAGAGGCAAGGAGGGGGAGGAGGGAGGAGGGCGAGGAGGGGGAGGAGGAGGAGAGGAGGTGGGACGCGGGGCGCTGTCTCTTCAAAACGAGGACCCAACAACCAACAGGATGGTTGGGAAAAAAGTACGCTGGGGGGGAGAACGTCCCAACCCGTCATTCAGGGGAAGGAGGAGAGTAGTTATTTTCATATTTGAGTAATTGGGAGTGGGGGAGAGGGGGAGGGGGGACGAGGGGAGGGGGGAGGGGGAGAGGGAGAGGGAGCAGGGAGAAGGGGACGAGGGGATGAGGGAAGAGGGAGGAGGAGGGAGAAGGGAGGAGGGGAGGTAGCGAGGGAGGAAGGGAGGAGGGTGGAGGGAGAAGGGATGAGGGAGGAGAGAGGAGGGAGCAGGGAGGTGATGAGATGAGCAAGCGGCCTGAAGCCAGGTGCGTGCCTGGGGTCCTGACATCCTGGGGCTCCAGGGTCGTGGGGTCGGAACGGCGGGGTCGGACCCGGGGGGTTTGGACTGGGGAGGTCTGGACCAGAGGGGGTTTTGGGGGTCCTGGGGGTAAGGGTCCTGGAGGTACCGGGGGCCTGGGGTCCTGGGGGTCTTGGGTGTCCTGCGGGAGTCTGGGGGCCCTGGGGGTTCGGAGTGGCCTGTGGTTTTGAGTTCCTGGAGGCAAGGGTCCTGGGGTCCCAGGGGTTCTGGAGTCCTGGAGGGCTGCCGAGATTCGGGATCCCAGGGGTTCCGTTCGGTTCGGTTTGGCCTGTTCGGTTCCGCCAGTTCGGTTCGGCCAATCCGGTTCGCCTGGTTGGCCGGTTCGGTTCCGCCGGTTCGGTTCGGCCGGTTCGGTTCGCAGGCCGGTTCGGTGAGGAGGGGCAGGATGAGCAGGAGGAGAAGGGAGAAGGATGCGGGAAAACGAATCGGAGGAAGGTGTGGAATACATGGTAGGAGGGGGAGGAACAGGGAGAAGGAAGAGGAAAGAGGAGGAGCCCGAAAACCGTAGAGATTCTTGGATGCATCACCAGGCATGATTGCGTAACTCAGGATCAGCGCCGAACTGTTCCTAAGCGGAGGAGGATTGGGGCATCTGTTGGGCCTCTTGGGGCCTCCTGGGGCCTCTTGGGGGCCTCTTCGGGGTCTCCTTGGGCCTCTGGGGCCTCCAGGGAGCTTCTAAGGGCGGAAGGCTCGGATTTCTGGTTCGGGCTCTCCGTCTTGGGCCCCTCTTGGGGCCCTCTTGGGCCGTCTTGGTAGCCTCTGGGGCCGTCTTGGCGCATTCTTGGGCAGTTTTGGGCGCCTCTTGGGAGCCTGCGCAGTGAAGGCCGAAAAGTCGTATAGGCCAAAAGTATACGTTTTCCGATGGAAATCAATGATATGGGCCTCTCGGGAACGTCCTTGGGAGGCTCCGGCTACCTGGAGCCATCTCGGAAGCGTTCTTGGAAGCCTCCGTGGCTACTTGGAGACGTCTTGGCGCGATCGTCGAGCCTCTTGTAGGCTTCTTGGGAGCGATCTGGAGCCATCGAGGGCTACATGAGCGAACTTGGAGGTCATCTTCAGGGGGGGGTAGCTGCGTATCTGACCCGGGTAATCCCCCGCGTCCTCCCCCGGGCCCTTCCCCGGGACCCCCGCGCCGGGGAAGGGATCAAAGGGAAGGGCCTTCCCTTCGACTCAGTGACGACGTTGCTCAATTTTGGTTTGGACCGAAACGCTTGAGGAGGAGGCCCCAGAAAAGGAGCAGAAGCTATGGGAAAAGGGATAAGACGAGGACGACGACGACGAGGAGGCAGACGGAGAAGCCTCGTCCACACGCCGACAGGGTCGGCGGATTTTGCAGCGTCGGATCTCGGGGCAGGCCCCCGGGGCTCTCCCAGGACCGCTGCTCGAGGGGCCGGGGGCCCGTGGATAGGGAACGACCCTGTTTGAGCGACGCGAGAGAGACACGGGGCCGTCTGCCCGGACATTCGCCGCACGGAAGCTGCCCCCGTAAGCTCGCGCGTAAGCGCCTTCGTTTCCAATGTAGTGTTGCGTGCTGGCTCAGAGGAGGAAAAGGTACCCAGACCCCTACCCTTCTCGTTTTCTGCAGATGCTGGCCGCTGGAGAGAGCCACACGGTGCTACTCAGGAGCGACGGCACCGCCGCGGCCTGCGGCTGGAATGAAGATGGTCAGAACAACGTCCCGGCGCTGCCCGCGGGCCTGACCTACACGCAGGTCGCTGTTGGATTTGGCCACACGTTGCTGCTCAGGAGCGACGGCACCGCCGTGACCTGCGGCTGGAGTGACGATGGTGAGTGCGACCTCCCAGCGCTGCCCGCGGGCCTGACCTACACGCAGGTCGCCGCTGGAGGGGCGCCCACTGTGGCGCACACGGTGCTGCTCAGGAGCGACGGCACCGCCGCGGCCTGCGGTTGCAATGACGATGGTCAGTGCGACCTCCCAGCGCTGCCCGCGGGCCTGACCTACATGCAGGTCGCCACGGGAGGGAAACACACGGTGTTGCTCAGGAGCGATGGCACCACCGCGGCCTGCGGTTGGAATGATTTTGGTCAGTGCGCCCTCCCGGCGCTGCCCGCGGGCCTTACCTGCACGCACGTCGCTGCTGGAGGGAGCCACACGGTGTTGCTCAGGAGCGACGGCACCGCCGCGGCCTGCGGCTGCAGTCGTCTTGGTCAGTGCGACCTCCCAGCGCTGCCCGCGGGCCTGACCTACACGCAGGTCGCCGCTGGAGGGAAACACACGGTACTGCTCAGGAGCGACGGTACCGCCACGGCCTGCGGCTGGAATGATTTTGGTCAGTGCGACCTCCCGGCGTTGCCCGCGGGCCTGACCTACACGCAGGTCGCCGCTGGAGGGACGCACACGGTGCTGCTCAGGAGCGACGGCACCGCCGCGGCCTGTGGCTGCAATGACGATGGTGAGTGTGACCTCCCGGCGCTGCCCGCGGGCCTGACCTACACAGCTCATTTACTTCCAGCGTTGCTCCTGCAGGCGTCGCTCGATGGCGGCTCAATGGTTTTCGTGACCTTCGGCGGGGTGGAGCGATGCAGGATCAGGGCGGCGCCCACCGCCCGCCTCGCAGACATCTACCTCCAGCTCGTGGCCGAGCACCGCGCGGGCAGGCTGGGCCCCGCAGCCTGGCGCGTCGAGGCCATCCTGCCGGGGGGCCGCCCGCTCAGCAGCGCCGCGGCCGAGGAGACGGTCGTCGGCGCATTTCCCGCCGCAGCCGAGCCGCCGGCGCAGCGAAGGAGGACGGCGTTCGGATAAACAGGGCGCGGGCCGTTTGCCAGGGCGGGCGCGCGACGTCGCCTCCGGCAGCAGGAACGGCGTCGCACGCGTGTTTTCTGGACGCCGTGCTAGGCCTGGACCGTCTTCCCTGGGGCCAGCTCCTCACCCCGAGTTGTTCTTTGGTCCGCGGCCCCGGGGCTCGGCGAGGGCCCCCAGAGGCCGGGCGCCGCGAGACACCTCCGCCTGGAGCTTCTCGGGGGCGCGGGGGCGCCCAGGACGGGGCCCCCAGGGCGGAGGGCGGGGGGGGGGCTCGGGCCGCCCGTTCTGCGGCGGTCCGTGCCCTCCAGCTCCCGATGTGCTGCCAGGCGTTCCCCGGCCTTCCGAGAACTGTTCTGAGCCTTCCACGAAGGCAGAAACAACTGTTTCAGAAGGCGCGAGAGCTTCTGAGAAGTCCCACCGCTTTCTGAGAAGGCCTTCTCCTTCTCATTTCCCCCCCTCGCTTTTTTTTTTTTTTTTTTTTTCTTTGTTTTTTTATTTTTTTCGCCGCCGAGTTTGACCTTGTCGTTGTTCCGAGGCCTCAACGGGCCCCGGGACCGCCAACAAATGACTCGGGATTGCAAAGCCTGGCCTAGATAGCAAGTGATCCAGACTCCAGGGGTCACGCATCGAAGACACTGAAGCGCCGACTGTCTGAGGGCCACCATGCGGGGAGGGGGGGGTGGGGGACAGGCCCAGGGGAGGGAAGGACCTGGGGGGAGGCGCAAGAGGTCAAGCAGTGGATGCCGCGATCCAGGATGTCCGGGGTTCTACAGGTGTCCTCTCTCCCGGTTCCAGGCGGGCTGCAGAGGGCCAGGTTACTCCACGCCATGGTTGCGACGCACCGCCGATGGCCAGGGTGGATGGCTCTACCCCCTGAGATCTTCCCCCTCCCCCCCTGGGGTCCCCTCTCACCCCTGCTCTGCTCCCCACTCGGAGAAGAAAACCTTGGAGGAGGAAAAGGTACCCATACTGCTATCATTCCCTCGTTTTCGCGTTTTGGAGCCTCCGCTGGATTCGCTTTGAAACTCTGGTCAGAACGCACCGTGGGAGAGGTCCGGGAAGTAGCCGTACCGGTGCCTTGGTTCCCCCAAGAGACGCAGCACGGCACACAAGCTTTTGGAGGTCCGCGCGGGTTCCTTGGATCTGCGCTTTTAGGGCCCCTGGCGGCGCCCCTGGCGCGCTCCTCTGGCGCGCTCCGCGCGCGGAGCAGGGTGTTCCAGCGCCGACTCCAGAAGCGGCGCGTACCTTCGGAAGTTTAGCACCCTTACGTTCGGGGTGCTCTCCAGAAGCTGCGCGTCGCCGAGGACCTTCCGGGGGTGCCCGGACGGGCGCCAGGGCACCGGAGAGCTGTTGAGTCGACCTCTTTGGGAAGGGCGAAAGCCCACCGGGAACGGCCATGCTTGGCTTCCCCCCTCCGGGGGCCCTCTGCCTTCCCCTTTGGCACCCAAGCGCTGCAGTGTCTTGAGATCCCGAGGTGCTGTGTGATTCGAGGTTGCGCTCATCATGATGAGGAGTTCTGTGCGTCTTGGCCCTTCTAGGTGGGGTCGGAGTGGATGGGGTCGCAGGATCGCGCCGCATCGCCGATGCATCGCCGATGCGGCTCGATGTGGAGCCCTATTTGCGTCGCGTCGACGTCGTCGGCGCTGCTTGCGCCCCCCAGAGGCCGTGCTGACTGGCCAAGGTGTCTTGCATCCAGACGCCGCTGCTCCTTCTCCGTCCTTCTCCTCCTCCTCTTCCCCTTCTTCGAAGGAATCGGGAGCATGGACGCTCCAGCCGGGCGCGTTGGCTCTGTGCCGTCTGCTCGGCTTGTTCCGCCTCGACGCTGCGCGCGAGGTCGCGGTCGGCGAAAAGTATGGACGCTCCAGCGTCCCCGCAGTCTGGGCAGCTGGGGCGTCTTTTTGAGCCGAGCTCCCTTGCCGACCAAGCGACGTACACTGAGCCCCTCCCAGGGCGAAGAGGGCGGCCGTGGCTCTGGCTTGGCGGGATCGTTCGAGGCGCTGGCTTCGATATCGGCGACAGTCGCATCACCCTGAGATCCGAGCGCTGCAGTGTTTTCACACCAGGCGTTTTGGCTTGGTTTCGGGCCCCGGGACCATCACAGATCCATCCTGCTCGAGAAATGCAGCAGGAAGATAGGGTCTAGAGTGTAGGGTGAAGATGTTCCAACACATACTTCAGCCTTGGCCACCAGGAAGAATTTCGAGCGCCAAGACAGTGCCGACACTGGAGCGTGTTCACGTGTCGGGCCCTGGGAGGCGATACTCGGTCGACATTTCGCCAGCGTGTCGGGCAGACACTGTCTCGATACTTGTCTGGGTGCTCGACAGCACATTTCTGGGAGATGGTCCTTAAGCACGATGGGAGCAGCATAAATCCAGGGCTCTGGTCGCGACTGTTTGCGATGTTGCATCTATTTTCTGGCGGCGACCGAGGGGGGAAGGGAGAAGGAGGAGGCCTTCTCAAAAGGCTCAGAAGTCCCCTACCCTTCTGATAGGTCTCCCAAGCCTTCCCCGAAGACAGAAAGCTTCTCAGAAGGCGCAAGGGCTTCTGAGAAGTCCCGCCGCCTTCTGAGAAGGCCACCTCCTTCTCACTTCCACCCCTCGCTCGCCGCCGGGCTCTGGTCGTGACTGTTTGCGATGTTGCATCTATTTTGCAGCGTCTGATCTTGGGGCAGGCCACCAGGGCTCTCCCGGGACCGCTGCTCGAGTGGCCGGGGGCCCGTGGATAGGGAGCGACCCTGTTTGAGCGACGCGAGAGAGACACGGGGCCGTCTGCCCGGACATTCGCCGCACGGAAGCTGCCCGCGTAAGCTCGCGCGTAAGCGCCCTCGTTTCCAATGTAGCGTTGCGTGCTGGCTCAGGAGGAAAAGGTACCCAGACCCCTACCTCTCCCTCGTTTTCTGCAGATGCTGGCCGCTGGAGAGAGCCACACGGTGCTGCTCAGGAGCGACGGCACCGCCGCGGTTTGCGGCTGCAATGAAGATGGTCAGTGCAACGTCCCGGCGCTGCCCGCAGGCCCGACCTACACGCATGTCGCTGTTGGATTTGGCCACACGTTGCTGCTCAGGAGCGACGGCACCGCCGTGACCTGCGGCTGGGGTGACGATGGTGAGTGCGACCTCCCGGCGCTGCCCGCGGGCCTGACCTACACGCAGGTCGCTGTTGGAATGGCCCACACGGTGTTGCTCAGGAGCGATGGCACCGCCGCGGCTTGCGGCTGCAATGACGATGGTCCTGGTGAGTGCGACCTCCCGGCGCTGCCCGCGGGCCTGACCTACACGCAGGTCGCCGCTGGAGGGGCGCCCACTGTGGCGCACACGGTGCTGCTCAGGAGCGACGGCACCGCCGCGGCCTGCGGTTGCAATGACGATGGTCAGTGCGACCTCCCAGCGCTGCCCGCGGGCCTGACCTACATGCAGGTCGCCACGGGAGGGAAACACACGGTGTTGCTCAGGAGCGATGGCACCACCGCGGCCTGCGGTTGGAATGATTTTGGTCAGTGCGCCCTCCCGGCGCTGCCCGCGGGCCTTACCTGCACGCACGTCGCTGCTGGAGGGAGCCACACGGTGTTGCTCAGGAGCGACGGCACCGCCGCGGCCTGCGGCTGCAGTCGTATGGTCGGTGCGACCTCCCGGCGCTGCCCGCGGGCCTGACCTACGCGCAGGTCGCCGCTGGAGAGGACCACACGGTGCTGCTCAGGAGCGACGGCACCGCCGTGGCCTGTGGCTATCGTGCTGGTCAGTGCGACCTCCCCGCGCTGCCCGCGGGCCTGACCTACGCGCAGGTCGCCGCTGGAGGGAGGCACACGGTGCTGCTCAGGAGCGACGGCACCGCCGTGGCCTGCGGCAGCAATCATGCTGGTCAGTGCGACCTCCCGGCGCTGCCCGCGGGCCTGACCTACGCAGCTCATTTGTGTCCAGCGCTGCTCCTGCAGGTGTCGCTCGATGGCGGCTCAATGGTTTTCGTCACCATCGGCGGGGTGGAGCGATGCAGGATCAGGGCGGCGCCCACCGCCCGCCTCGCAGACATCTACCTCCAGCTCGTGGCCGAGCACCGCGCGGGCAGGCTGGGCCCCGGAGCCTGGCGCGTCGAGGCGATCCTGCCGGGGGGCCGCCCGCTCAGCAGCGCCGCGGCCGAGGAGACGGTCGTCGGCGCATTTCCCGCCGCAGCCGAGCCGCCGGCGCAGCGAAGGAGGACGGCGTTCGGATAAACAGGGCGCGGGCCGTTTGCCAGGGCGGGCGCGCGACGTCGCCTCCGGCAGCAGGAACGGCGTCGCACGCGTGTTTTCTGGACGCCGTGCTAGGCCTGGACCGTCTTCCCTGGGGCCAGCTCCTCACCCCGAGTTGTTCTTTGGTCCGCGGCCCCGGGGCTCGGCGAGGGCCCCCAGAGGCCGGGCGCCGCGAGACACCTCCGCCTGGAGCTTCTCGGGGGCGCGGGGGCGCCCAGGACGGGGCCCCCAGGGCGGAGGGCGGGGGGGGGGCTCGGGCCGCCCGTTCTGCGGCGGTCCGTGCCCTCCAGCTCCCGATGTGCTGCCAGGCGTTCCCCGGCCTTCCGAGAACTGTTCTGAGCCTTCCACGAAGGCAGAAACAACTGTTTCAGAAGGCGCGAGAGCTTCTGAGAAGTCCCACCGCTTTCTGAGAAGGCCTTCTCCTTCTCATTTCCCCCCCTCGCTCGCCGCCGAGTTTGAGCTGTCGTTGTTCCGAGGCCGTCAACGGGCCCCGGGACCGCCAACAAATGACTCGGGATGCAAAGCCTGGCCTAGATAGGCAAGTTGTCCAGACCTCCAGGGGTCCACGCATCGAAGACACTGAAGCGCCGACTGTCTGGAGGGCCACCATGCGGGGAGGGGGGGTGGGGGACAGGCCCAGGGGAGGGGAAGGACCTGATTCGGAGGCGCAAGAGGTCACGCGATGCCGCGATCCAGGATGTCCGGGGTTCTCCAGGTGTCCTCTCCTCCAGGGTTCCAGGCGGGCTGCAGAGGCCAGGGTACTCCGACGCCATGGTTGCGACGCACCGCCGATGCCAGGTCGATGGCTCTACCCCCTGAGCTCTTCCCCCTCCCCCCCTGGGGTCCCCTCTCACCCCTGCTCTGCTCCCCACTCGGAGAAGAAAACCTTGGAGGAGGAAAAGGTACCCATACTGCTATCATTCCCTCGTTTTCGCGTTTTGGAGCCTCCGCTGGATTCGCTTTGAAACTCTGGTCAGAACGCACCGTGGGAGAGGTCCGGGAAGTAGCCGTACCGGTGCCTTGGTTCCCCCAAGAGACGCAGCACGGCACACAAGCTTTTGGAGGTCCGCGCGGGTTCCTTGGATCTGCGCTTTTAGGGCCCCTGGCGGCGCCCCTGGCGCGCTCCTCTGGCGCGCTCCGCGCGCGGAGCAGGGTGTTCCAGCGCCGACTCCAGAAGCGGCGCGTACCTTCGGAAGTTTAGCACCCTTACGTTCGGGGTGCTCTCCAGAAGCTGCGCGTCGCCGAGGACCTTCCGGGGGTGCCCGGACGGGCGCCAGGGCACCGGAGAGCTGTTGAGTCGACCTCTTTGGGAAGGGCGAAAGCCCACCGGGAACGGCCATGCTTGGCTTCCCCCCTCCGGGGGCCCTCTGCCTTCCCCTTTGGCACCCAAGCGCTGCAGTGTCTTGAGATCCCGAGGTGCTGTGTGATTCGAGGTTGCGCTCATCATGATGAGGAGTTCTGTGCGTCTTGGCCCTTCTAGGTGGGGTCGGAGTGGATGGGGTCGCAGGATCGCGCCGCATCGCCGATGCATCGCCGATGCGGCTCGATGTGGAGCCCTATTGCGAAGGCCTTACGGCCGGTGCCGCCGACCCTGAGAACGACGAAGATGAAAACGAGAGGGGGAGGGGGAGGAGGATGAGTGGGAGGTGGGGGAAGGGTGGAGGAGGTGGATGAGGGAGGAGGAGGGGGGAGAAGGATGTGGAGGAGAAGCAAGAGGAGGAGAAGGAGGCAGATGGTAGCAGGAGGAGGAGGAGCAGAGGGGGGGGGAGGAGGAGGAGGAGGATGAGGAGGAGGAGGATGAGGAGGAGGAGGAGGAGGAGGAAGAGGAGGAGGCCAGAGGCTTCTTGGGACAGCCTGGGGCTCTCTCGAGGCCGTCTTGGGCCGTCCATGGCTCCTCTTGCGCCGTCTTCAGGCACTCTTGGATGCCTCCTGGGCAATTTGGGGCTCTCCTGGGCTGTCTTGGGGCAGTTTGGGGGCCCCTTGGGAGCCTCTTGGGGCCTCTGGGGGCTTCTTCGGGGCCTCTTGGGGGCCTCTTGGGGCTGAGAGCTCGAAATGTCCGTTCGGGTCCCCCGTCTGGGCACTCTCCTGGAGCCGTCTTGGGGGGCCTCTTGGGCCGTCTTGGAGGCGTCATGGGCCGTCTTGGGGCCCTCTTCGGCCGTTAGGGGACCCTTTTGGGGGCCTCTTGGGCCGTCTCGGGGCGATCTTGGGGGCCTCTTGGGTCGTCTTGGCGCGTCGGGAAGCGGAAGAGGCAAGAATGCCAATATTTTCAAAAAATGTATGGGAAATCCATGAATTTTGCCTCTTGGGGCTCTCGTGGGAAAGCTCCTTGAGGCCTCTTGGGGCGCTTCGCAGGCCTCTTGGGCCGTCTGGAGGCCGTCAAGGCGTCTTGGACAGATCGTTCGGCGATTCGGGGTTCCCTTGGACTGTCTTTGGGGCCTCTTGGGGCACTCTTGGCCCGTTTTTGGGCTTTTTGGGGCTCCGGGACTTCCATGGGGGGCGTCTGACCCCCCCCCCCCGGGTCCCCCCCCCCCGGCGGGGAAGGGGCTTCCCTTCGACTCAATTACGACGTTGCTCAACTTTGCTTTGGCTGGCGCGTTGACGAGGTCCATGGGAAAGGGGGGAGCTTCGACGAGCCCAGGGAAAGGGGGGAGGCAGGGAAAGGGGACGACAGAGACGACGACCAACGAATGACGGAGATGACGACTTGAACGGAAAAGCCCCTCACACACGCCGACAGGGTCGGCAGATTTTTATGATGATGATGCTGATGATGCTGATGATGATGATGATGATGCTGATGTTGATGCTGTTGATCATGACGATCATGATGATGCTGATGCTGATGCTGATGATGATGCTGATGATGATGATGATGATGCTGCTGCTGATGATGATGATGATGGATGATGATGATGCTGATGATGCTGATGAATGATGATGATGATGATGCTGATGATGATGATGATGATGATGATGATGCTGATGCTGATGCTGATGATGATGATGATGATTATGGTAATGAAGGGGAATCCGATTCTGAGGGTGATATTGATGGTGCTGATGCTGTTGATGATGCTGATGCTGCTGCTGCTGATGATGATGAGGCTGCTGCTGATGATGATGTTGATGCTGATCTTGATACTGATGATGATGATGATGCTGATGCTTATGATGATGCTGGGGATGCTGAGGCTGATAAATATGATGATGGTACTGGTGATGGTGATGATGATGATGATGAAGATGATGATGTGGACGATAGTGATGATGCTGATGATGATGCTGATGCTGATGCTGCTGGTGATGATGATGATGATGATGATGATGATGATGATGATGATGGTGACGGTGGTGATGATGCTGATGCTGCTGCTGATGGTGATGACGGTGAGGCTTCTGCTGATGGTGCTGATGATGTTGATTCTGGCTTTGGTACTGATGGTGATGCTCCTGATGCTTATGATGATGCTGAAGATGCTGAGGCTGATGAATATGATGAGGGTACTGGTGATGGTGATGATGATGATGCTGCTGATGATGATGATGATGATGATGATGATGATGATGTTGACGAGAGTGATAATGCTGATGAGGATGCTGCTGATGCTGCTGATGACGATGACGATGATGCTGATGCTGATGATGATGTTGCGGATGGGGATGATGATCATGGCGGTGGTGATGATGATTTTGATGATGATGATGATGCTGATGAGGATGATGATGCTGATGATGATGATGATGCTGATGATGCTGGTGATGATGATGCTGATGAGGATGATGACGATGATGCTGATTTTCATGATACTGCGGATGATGATGATGATGATTGTGGTGGGGATGTTGATGTGGCTGATTATGCTGATGTTGATGCTGATGATCATGTATGATGATGATGCTTATGATAATGACGATGCTGATGCTGATGATGATGCTGAGGATGATGATGCAGACGACGATGATGGTGCTGCTGATGATGTTGCTGATGATGCTGCTGATGATGATGATGATGATGATGATGATGATGCGGATGATGATGCTGCTGCTGATGATGATGATGATGATGATGATGAGGATGATGATGATGATGATGATGATGCTGGTGAGGATGATGATGATGAGGATGATGATGATGATGCTGATGATGATGCTGATGATGATGATGCTGATGATGATGCTGATGACGATGATGCTGCTGATAATGATGATGATGCTGATGATGATGATGCTGATGCTGATGATGATGATGATGATGATGATGATGATGGTGGTGGTGGTGATGATGATGATGAGGATGATGACGATGCTGATGCTGATGCTGATGCTGATGATGATGATGATGATGATGATGATGATGATGGTGCTGATGCTGATGCTGATGCTGATGATGATGCTGATGATGATGCTGATGATGATGCTGATACTGATGCTGATGCTGATGCTGATGATGATGATGATGATGATGATGATGATGATGATGATGATGATGATGATGATGATGATGATGATGATGATGATGATGATGATGATGATCCGGGACCGAGCTCGGATCGAGCGCCGCGCGCGTCGAATGAGCAGAACGAGCGAAGAGGCGGCCCAACGACCCAGACGAGCATCGCGGCCAGGGCGTCCTCTCCGCGCCTCAGTGGAGGCGACAGCACACATGACAGTCGAACGCGAACGGATCACGCGAGCAATAGCCATGCCAGAGCCTCATCTCCAACGACGAGGGCACGATGGACAGGAATCCTGACATTAGAGCCGTCGGGGCGAAAACCTCGCAAAACCGATTCAAACGATCACGCTTGTTCGGCTCTCGACGGAGTTGGGTTGGATCGCAAGGCAGCAGCAGGCCTCCACGAGCCGCGCCTCGCGAATAGGATCCGCACGCCGTGCACGCCACGAACTCGCCTGCGACCCTGAGTCTGTGCCCCCTGCATGCCTCAGGCGGCACGGGGCCAGACTCGGGGAGAGGCGCAGCA